GAATTAAAACATGCAACTTAATAATTCCATCGGAAAAAAGGAAATAGAATCAATCGACTATCTCCGCTATAACCTTTTCTTGAAGAAACAAATAGCTAAATGCCATCAAGCGCATGATATAAGCAATCAATATCGCCTACTCTTTAGTCTCACGAAACAAACATAAAGATTAATTTTTGCTCTTCTTTTTGTCAGAAAGATTGAATGAAGAACGCACATACCCTCCATTGACATTTCCTAGGTAAATAATCTCAAGCAAACGAATAGTGGCCAGAAGCAACATTGCAAGCAAAAAGCCACTGGCTCGCAAAAAAGAGAAGAAATCTTTCCCCAAGAAAAGCACTAAAAATTTCGGAGAAACCGAGGGGATCAGGCGCAGGACGTAACCTGAAACGTCTGGCGAGCCAGTGGAGGTGATGGGTGGCTGCACATCCACGACGCGCTTCGGTTTGGAAGGCAGGGCCACGTCCGAACCCGGCCTCGCCTTGATCCTTCTAGTTGCTCGACATAAGATGATGGAGTCTTTCCGGCGCACCAATGGAGCTTCTACTCGATCACTTCAACCAAAAAGATCGGAGCTTTGACGATTCTCTGCACATAGAAAGAGGAGAAAATATTAGGTGGAGCTATGCCAGTGAGGTTCGTCGGACGCAGAGACGGCGAGAACCCTTCAAAATATATCCCAAAATGCAAATATTACACACATTTTGGAGTAAATCTAAGAAAATATTTACCTTGCGAGGCGGAGGCGGTGATGTGGTACAGAGCCAGGCGTGGCTCGTCGGACGGCGGAGACGGCGAAAATAGAGCGAGACGAGAGACAGACGGAGAGAACAAAACTAGTCGAGAGAGAGACGGCGTGGTTCGTCGAACGGCCGAGGCCGCACTTCGGTTTGGAAGGCGGGGCCACATTCGAACCCGGCCTCGCCTTGATCCTTCCAGTTGCTCGACAGAAGGCGATGGAGTCTTTTCAAAGCACCAATGGAGCTTCTACTCGATCACTTCAACCAAAAAGATCAGAGCTTTGGAGATTCTCTGCACACAGAGAGAGGAGAAAATATTGGGTAGAACTATGCCAGTGAGGTTCGTCGGATGGTGGAGACGGCAAGAACCCTTCAAAATATATCCCAAAATGCAAATATTACAAACATTTTGGAGTAAATCTAAGAAAACATTTACCTTTCGAGGCAGAGGCGAAGGTGGCGACGTGGTACAGAGCCGGGCGTGGCTCGTCGGGCGGCGGAGACGGCGAAAACAGAGTGAGACGAGAGACAGACGGAGAGAACAGAGCTAGTCGAGAGAGAGATGGCGTGGTTCGTCGGACGGCCAAGGCAATGAACGAGGCGGAGGTGGCGGTGGCGTGGTTTGTCGAAGGAAAGCCCGATCGTGAGTTGGAAGGGTGGCTTGAGTCGGGAGGGAGAGAGAGCAAAGCGTGAAAGGAAGAGTGAAGAGAGAGAGTGTCCCGCTTCAACCTTTGAAATTTGGTTGTCTGACGCATATGGGCCCAGGCGACACGTGTCGCATATTGAGTGAGTCGGATTTTGCCAACGTGGAATCACAGTTCCACCCAATATTTTCTCTCACACCATGTTGGCCAGTGGCAACAGCCACTATCGAAACTTTCTAGAGGAGTGAAGTGATGATGATGGGCATCTTCCAAAGGGGGAGGAAGCCTAGAATCACGTTTGACTTTCCAACAGTTACCAGTGACCTTCATCATTTCCCGTAATGGCTCCTAAAAAAAGAAAGGCAGAGATCAAGATGAAGGGGTTTATCGACAGGGATTGAAGCAACTTGGGGCGCGTTTGGCAATTTGCCAAATAGTAACTATTTCTATTCTTTTATTCCCAAAATCAGTTTTGAAACATAATCAAGGAGCAAAAAAAAGTAGCTTCTTAATTCTGGGAACAAGAATCATAAATGGAAAAAATAAAAATTTCCTCTTCTTCTTCTTCTTCCTACCTGTGGCCAGTTGCCGGCCACAGGCTAGGGCCGACGAAAGCGTCGCGGCCCTCGTCGGTGGCCGGCGAGGGCCACCCTCGACGGATCTGGAATGGGCGACCCTCGCCGCCGCCCTTGCCAGATCCAATGAGTTTGCCGCTACCTTCGCCAGATCTGGCGAGGGTGGCTCGCGGCCTGGGCGAGGGCCGCCCTTACCGGATCTAGCGAGGGCGACCCTCACCCAAGCCGCCAAGGGCGGCCCTCGCCTAGGCTGAGAACCACCCTTGTCGACCTTGGCCTGTGACCGGTTGCCAGCGCCGGCGACTTGGCCATGGCCAAGGAAGGGGAAGAAAAAAAAGGAGAAAACAATATTAAAAAATTCAAAAATATTATTAATAAAAAGAAAATTTGTGCAGTTACTAAATGCATTTATGTTCTTTTTCTATTCCAAGAATATAAATTTTGGGCAGTTACCAAACGCCTTCAAATGCTTAGAAATTGTTTTCGGGCACGGAATAAAAAAGGAATCATTTTTTAGCAGAATCAACTTTCTAGAACAAAATGTTGCCAAACGACACCTTACACACCTGATGATCAGCGCACAGATCCTGATTTGCTCGTTTTGATCCTCTTTAATATGTTTTAGTAAATGCGCAGGCGTAGAGAAGAGGGAGAGGGAGAGAGAGTCTCAAGGCCCGTTTGGTTCAACTTTCCAAATGCTACTTGGGAAAATACAAATACCTTTAGGTTAAAGTCCCTTGGGAAAATGCAAGTGACGTTCGGTAAAAAATCATTTATAAAGCTACTTTGGCCAAAGTAATGTTTGGTAACTTTTTTTTTTGCAAAAGGGCTTTGGAAATTATTTTTTTTATTAAAAAAAAAAGACCTACCCTACCCTTCGCCGGAGCTGGCGAAGGCCTACAGCTGCCGGCGAGCTAGATCTAGTGCCGGCGGCCGTCGCCCGAGGTTGAGCGACCCTGGGCGAGCTAGATTTGCCGTCGGTGGTCGCCGCCGCGAGGCCAGGCGACCCTCGGCGAGGGTCGCCCAGGCCTAGCGGCCGTCGTCTGGGTCGCACGACGCAGGCGGCAGGTGCCTGGGTCGCGCCGCCTGGGTCGTGTGCGACCCAGGCGACAGCCGTCTGAGAGCGACCCAGGCAACATCCGCCTGAGGTTGCGCGACCCAGGCGATGGCCGCCTGAGGTCGCGTGACCCAGGCGGCGACCTAGGCGGCGTCGACCGCCCTTGCCGGCCTCCCTCGCCAGCCGCCTCACGAAGAAGATGAACAGTACCAAGAGGGGCAAAACCGGAATAAGTCAAAATAAGTGAGAGTAGTTTGGTGATAAAAAATTTGGGATCAGCATTTGTGGAATGCCGAAAGCCCAAAGCTGGTTCGGATCAGCTTTGGGCTTTGGGCATTCCAAATACTAGCATTTGGCCAATGCTAGGCCGAAAGTTGAACCAAACGGTTCAGCATTTTGAGAAGAGGCTTTCGAGGCTGAAAGCTCATTCTCAAAGCTGAACTAAACGGGGCTGAACTAAACGGGGCATCGGTCTTTGTCGTTTTGAGTGAAAGAGCTTTTGAGCTTGGTTGGGTCGTGTTGTATTGTTTTGACGTTTTCTGCTGTGAAAATAAAAGAAGTTTGTGACGCTGAAAGAGTACGGAAAAAAAGAAACTTTCGGATTAATGAATCAGAGACGAGATAAATATATAAAAAGTAACGGAACCACAATTGTGACGATGTACATGGTCTGACCAATATAGTTCGCCGTTACTTAGGTGGTGTGAATCTTATTTTGCTTGAGGACATGCGTTTATACATTTCGCTTTCGATCGACCGGCGACACCACACATCACTGGTACGTGATACATCCCTAGCATGAAATATATTCTCCATGGCTCTTGAGCCCCTTGGGTAGCTGTATCGATTTCGTACAATGACCAAACACGTCATTGTGGGTATCTTATAAAGGTTGACCCGTTGGACACGAGAGAAGAGCTAGTATACTGCTATCCGTTTAAGTGTCTTTGTTAATTGCTTAACAGACGGTCTCGGCGTGATTATTGACGAAATCCATTCGATTGTCTTATGGTTTACTAAGCTTTCTAGAATTGCAAAGGGAATTTTATGAGTATCTACATTCAATCCACCTTCGTCTATTTGTTAAACATTTTATATTTTTTGAAGCAGGGGGTCGAGTTCAGAGTTCTAGCGTCAGTAACAAACTGTTTCGGACGCATGGTTGACATCGGAGCACTACCTTTCGACCGTCGTGTGTGTATCCGAAAGCGTCCTTCGAATCTCTTTGTTCTTTCGATCTTCGTCGTGGCTCTTCGAGCGCTTATTTACAGATGGACGTCGGATGCCATGTCCGGAAAACCGGCAGGGGGGCAACTCCGTATTAACAAGAAGGCTAGTTTGGCAAAAAGCCAGTGAGGGGACGTACGAGCAGGTGCTGGTAGGAAGACAACGATGATAACACCATGCAAAAGAAACGGGTCGATTTTGAATCAAAAGAAACTCTCAGAATTTCGCGAAGAAATCGATTGAGGTGCATGTCACGAGCAAATCTTAATTGGTCATGCACACCACGTCAATCGTTTAATCTTTCGCTCAAAACAACTTTCTAATTCCTTTAACGTGCCTTCCTCGCCGGACTCATCAGCCCAGTCCAACCGTTCGGATCGCGACCCCCTCAATGTCCCGACACATGCCCCTCCACAACAGTGGCAGCGACTAGGAACCGGCAGCAGCAAATGTCGACGGGACTATCAACGAAGTACATCGTCATTATTCCTCCACCCCCAACTACATTTTGATTTCGCTTTCGTTCTCGGACAAAGCGAAGAAAACGCAAATCTCATTTTTTTAACTTCGTTGCCAGGGACCGCAAACGGACCTACATTTTGATTTGACGATAAGATTAGATGCATTCCCCACGTTTTATGCCATTCTCTTTGGTGCTGTCACATGCCATTTGCTCTGCAGCGAACTTGGTCATTACCTTTGGATGGATGATTACTCTCTTTTAACATTAAAGCTTTTTTCACAGAGAGAGAGAGCCAACAACAGAGATTTGTATATACTAAACATGGTGACTCCATAACCCTTTTCTACAGAAACTAAGGAGCCCACAAATTCTCCCTTTAAAAGGAATGGCGATTCCTATAAATGTGAATGCGGCAGAGGTAATGGGGAAAAAATGTACTTTAATTAGCTTTACTTAGCTTCTCGAGCAGAAGGGTGTCGACGACGGTCTTCACGTAGGCATAGAAGCACTCTCTGCACGAATTAGGCATGAGAGTAGACTTGTGGAGCCTCCGAACGTCGTCGGTGTGACAACACACGGAACTGGGGATGACAGACTTGGGCCGCTCCAAGCCACACGCGGCCAGTATGATGTGGGTCGCCGCTCTGGCGATTTCTTTGAATGCATCAACTCCTGTAGGAGCGACAATGAATGAGAAACTAAAATTACAAGACAAGAATAAAGAGGGTACAATAACTGAGTCTTCAAAAATTGAAAAAATGAGATGGTTGGAGTAAGTTAAGATGGTAAGATCCGAGCAATTAGACAACAGCAGAATGATACCCATAACGGTCAGTTCAACTGAAACAGGTTCTACACCTATCGCGTTACACATGCTGTTTTGTCGGTGATATTTCCTAACACGTTCAGGCAAAGCAAGATATACGAACTGAAACAGAACATGCAATCGGTCACACAAAAGTCCGTAAAAGCATTCAAGGGAACCTTACGGAAGCAAAACATAAATCTGTCACCAGGAAGCATGATACATCTATACGATCCGCAAAGAAAGTCAATCAAGATTACGACCTAGCGATGTTCATTTTATCAGATCTTTCACTAACTGCAATCCATAAATAAGCAGAAGGTTGCTTATTGAACACACCCAGTTGTTTATTGTGGCTAAGCATCTTCAAATTGAACTTCACAAGAGATTGGATTTCACTTTTTGCACTGTCATCTCTTCTAGAGTGGCCAGCTACTCGAGCCTCTTCCAGCATTCCTTTCCCCTGGGAATTCCGTGATGAAGCAATGCTTGCCCCAAGTGTGGCAGAAAAACAATTAGAGGATACCGACGTAGAACCAGCAGAAGATGTCATAGATGGCCAATTGTCTTCTTGGTGAGTGATGCTGCATGACGTTCTGACAGATTTATTTGTGTGATACTCATGCCTTTGCAAACTAGCATGGTCCATTATGAAAGGAGGCAATCCCAGACATCTTTTCTGTTTCTGCCTTTCAATTACTGGAGATCTGGGCTTGGAGGATCCCGACACAGAACCAGCAGAAGATGTCAAAGAAGGACAATTGTCTTCTTGGTAAGTAATGCTGCTTGATGTTCTGACAGATTTATTTGTGTGATACTCATGCCTTTGCAAGCTAGCTTGGTCCAATGGAGAAGGAGGCAATCCTGGACATCTTTTCTGTTTCTGCCTTCCAGTGACTGGAGACTTATGCTGAGACGATTTATCACCAACATGACTGACCTTATGCTGCAAAGCTGCTGCACATTCAGTATAGCGACTTTTATTTACTCGATTCCTCAATTCTAGATGATTAATATTAAGACTGGCTACTTTTGGAGCATTTCCTTTCCTGACAAATTTGTTTGCTACATGGCGCACACGACTTGTTAAATCATGAGCTTGCTGTCTGGACTTGGCTCTATCCATCATCTTCCATGCTTTGGTGATATCGTACTTATCTTCATGGTGGGAAGCAAAATCTAACATACAATCTTCATCTTTCAATGGTTGATGACTTGTGGATGGTTGACCTAATCTGTCATGCCCATGGTCTCGCTCACTACTCTCACTGTGCAAAGACTCCACATTTCTTGAATGAAAGCTCAATGACCCACCTCGCAGCGCATCCCAATTCTCACGAAATGCCTTTATACGAAGATGCACATCACGACATCGTCGTAGAGTTCTCGCACCAGAATATTCCGTTGCTGTTTCTGCAACATTGGGATCCCTTCTTTCGCCTTCTTGGGACATTTCCTGAACAATACCATCTCCCCTGTCAGATACAGCAGCACTCAGGTCTAAAGGTGATGACACTGTGGTTGCGGGCCGCCCGATATTAGATGCCCTGCTATCTCTTACGATATCGAATATCGAAACCAGCGGCTCAGCCGATGGCATCGAAACATGTCCAACGCAGCTCTCTCCTTCATCAGTCCTCGAATGCTCGTCCCTCATAAAAGCGCAGTCATGGCAAAACCAATCCCCTTGGGGTACAGTGACACCCAAGCCCACACAATAAGTATGAAAAGCCGAATCGCAGAGTTCGCAAAGCAGCAGACACCATTCATCTTGCGTGCCACGACAGACACCACACCGAGTTTCCGTATAAGGATCAAAAGGTCTGATTCCATGGGGATCATAAACCTGCAAAAGAACACAGACAGCAAATTGCTTCTTTCACTTAATTTTTTCTTGGGTTCAATGCTGCTTTCTCTAGATTACTCGGTGGAAATAATGTCCACGGCCATATGCTCAAGCAGAGTGGAAGGCAAAAATCACCAAATTAAATTAAATTAAGCACATTCATCTCAAACCCTTCAACCGAAGAATCCTATTAACCAATTTCGATCAAAGGGACCAAGCAAAACCAATTACTCTGCCATAAAGAGCCCGATCACAATCGATGAATTTTTGCTGATCAAGCCCGGGAAAGAAAGAGGACCCAGTCGTCTAAACCCAAAACGCAATCTACCCGAATTCGGAAACAATCAGAACGGACCTGGTCGCGAGGCGGGACGTTCACGATCCTCTCGGCGGCAAAGACGCCGTCCTTCGGAGGCCTGAGGATGGTGGAGAACCTGCGCTTGCACATGGGGCACTTGGACTCCACCTTGGCCCATTCCATGATGCACACGAAGCAGAAGTGGTGGTCACAGCTGTCGATTCGACCCCGGACGGCTCTTCCCCCCTCCGTCAGGCAGATCCCGCAGCGCACGCCGTCGCCGCCGCCCTCCTCCGTCGGAGGCCGCCGCTCGTCGTCGCCGCCGCCGCCCGGGGCTCTCTTCGACCGCTTGCTCGACGGCGAGGCGGGGGTGGTGGCGGCGGGGCTCGCCATGGTTAGAATTGCGAGGGAAGGCGGGGTCGCCCGGGAAGGAGGATTTGAGAAACCGAGAGAGGATTTGAACAAGGAGGATTTGAGAAACCAGCATAATCTTTTTCCCTTCGATTTTTCTTTAGGCTTTCTCGCTAATTTTACGAGGTCACGAGTTGGCAAAAATATGATAAGGATAATCACATCGGAAGTGCTAAAATTTCTTGCGAAAATGTAATTAAATTATAAAAAAGTTATAAAAATATGTAATTAAGTCTTAAAACTCGTTAGATTAGTGCGATCGAGTCTATTCATTAATTTCGTTCAACTTTATTAACGGGAAATACTGACGCAGCTTTTTTATATTATTTTCTCTTTATCATACGTGGCGATCACATGACTAAAATGACGTCGTTTTGATTCGAATTTAATTTTTATTGAAATTATATTAAAAAATAAGCAAACTTTTAAATAAACAAAAAAAAGGGAAAAACAAGGCGATGGGCTTTCTCGCCTTTTTTCTAAATTTTGCAAATTTTAAATTTAATTTATATAAAATTTGGACTAAAAAAATCGAATTTGGACCAAAATAACATTGGTTTAGCTTTATGCTTCATATTTTTGGTCGTGACATCGTTGCGTAGCAAAGAGAAAATAAAAAAAAAAGTTAGGTCATCATTTTTCGTCAGCAAAAATAGATGGAGTTAATGGAAGGACTCGATTGCATTAATTTGACAAGTTTTAAAATTTAATTTTTCTTTTTGTAAGTTTTACAACTTAATTATACTTTACTTACAAGTTTTAGGATTTTCAGCGTACTTATTAATGCGAATTCGTAAGAACTTGATTAGCCTTGAGCAATTCATATAAAACATCTTATATTTTGTGGAGTCCGAGTCACTTGCGGTTCCTACGACGCTGTTCGTGGCTTCGCTACATGCTACATAGAACGTGAGGATGATGAGTATGGATTTTGCTCCTCCTTTGCTCGTCTACGCACCTCACGAGGTCACTCAAATCTTTATCCGAGCTCCCCCTCCTTTGATTGCGTTCCAAGCCGCACCGCTCTATCTCCTTGGCTCGGACCTTTTAAGGCACATCGCCGCTCAATGACTCGGCCGAAGCCCGGGCCAACTCCGCTGCCTCCGGTATCTTCTCCAACTCCCTCGCCTACTCTGATTACCACGCCCGATTCGTCCATCGGCATCTTAGCGTTCACGAATTGCTCCGCGCCCATCAGCCATGTCAGCATAACCGTATCGGCGCTGAGCCCCCCCAATGTCGAGTTTCACCCGTAGTGAATTAGGAACACGCCCATGGCTCGATGCCGCATTATTGCCACCTGTGGGGCCCACCTCCCGATCATGATCTTAATACGCTCTGTGAAGTCTTTCGATTGAGCAACTTGGATTTACAGAAAGAGAGAAGATGGAAATGCGTATTGTGAACTGTAGCTACCAAAATATAGTATGTACACTATTGAAATCTATAACATGACTATTAGATAAGTTTGGCATGCGCTAATTATGTCTATTATATGATACAACAACTTCTCTTCTGTCGGGTAATTTACTAATGTGAAGAAGACAAACGACCTTGGTCTTGTCCTTAATCATATGACAATAGACTTATATTCTTCGTTTATTTCATCTAATGTACTTTCTAAAGTTTGTATTTTTTTCTAAATTCGGAGCGTCAAACTTTTCATTTGATTAATGCGAACCATCCTATTCACATGCATTGAATGAGACATCCACAATAAGGTAAGATACACGACATCCAAGAGTCAATTGAGCGGAAAATAATGGTATAAGTCCCAACTAAATAAAATAATTGACCATTCAATCAAATCCCATTGAGCCCACTTTCGAGAAGATTGCTTTATTGTTAAATTTTCGGCACAGGGTAATCATAACAAAAATGCTGGCGCGGTTTGATGAGATGTCAAGATATTTCTAGCATAAATCATTTGTTCGAACTGCACCAAGTGCATGCAAACTGCATGTTAAGGTAGACACGAGTTCAAAGGTGAGACTTAATCAATTTTTAAGACTTGCATATTATGTGTTTCATGAATCTTCAAATAGTCGGGTCTCTATGCTCGTACCTCCAAGTTATATTAAAGACGAATAGTAATAATTCTCTTAAAGTTTTGGAGCATCTGCCCGAATAATAAGCTAGTAAGTTAGTCACATGGAGATTACCATATATTTACTAAGCAAAAAATAAATATTTACTAAATTTGCTTGGCATTTTCTTTTGCTGAGCAAAAAAGAATAAAAAAACTATTAGACTATACTTGGCATCGCTCATTATTTTTTTTTTAGGTCGAATGGCATTGCTCATATGCTCTTTGGAAAACATTGGCAAATTCTATGCACCGATAAATTGAAGAAAATTTTGGGGCGACAGTATAGAAAGCAGCCAAATTTCAGAAGCACCTCGACCTTTCCAACAGTGCCCATCACGCCCCGGTCGACCGAGATCGTTCTCGAATTCTCCCACGTTCCGACACTTCTCTCTATATTACGCTCTCCCTTCGTCCTCGTAGCTGCTCACGCCGAACTCGAAACTGCAAATTCAAACCCCTGCCCAAGAAAAAGAAGTCTCGTATTGAATTGGATCAGTGCCCGTTTGGTCCCTGCAAATTCAAAGGAGAGAGGAGAAAGAACAGAGAAAAACATCATTTTTGGTTGCTTTGTTTGAGGTCTTGCCGTTTTGGGTTGCGTGGTCAACCGCAGAAATGGCGTCCTGCGCGGCTCAAATCCACAGTCTGGGTCTAACTCGAACTGGGTCGTCTTCAAGAACCCCCAAGAGACCGAATCGCCGATCAAGTTCGTTGTTTTTTGGAGAGGCGCTCGGTTCAAGGAAGCTCTCGTTCTTGAAGCTCAGCGCCAGAGGTCCGATTACAAGGAGGAGGAGCAGCGTGGGACCGGTGAGAGTGGTGAGCGAGAAAGTGGTGGGCATCGATTTGGGGACGACGAACTCGGCGGTGGCGGCGATGGAGGGAGGGAAGCCCACCATCGTGACCAACGCCGAGGGGCAGAGGACCACGCCCTCCGTCGTCGCGTACACGAAGAGCGGTGACCGGCTCGTCGGGCAGATAGCGAAGCGGCAGGCCGTGGTGAACCCGGAGAACACCTTCTTCTCGGTGAAGAGGTTCATCGGGAGGAAGATGTCCGAGGTGGATGAGGAGGCCAAGCAGGTTTCGTATAAGGTGGTAAGGGACGAGAATGGGAATGTCAAGTTCGAGTGCCCTGCTATTGGTAAGCAGTTCGCTGCTGAGGAGATTTCTGCTCAGGTATAGTACATTGTAGTCTTTTTATTAGTTCTTTTGTTTTTTTTTTTTTTTTGAATAGCTGCAAATTGGAGGATATGTTGTTGATCTGGCTGTAAATAATTAGTGTCCTGCCATCATATTTGTGTTGATCACTTGTATCATTCATTTCATTAACGAAATGTTTTGGCGCATGTTTTTATTAAAATTCACGTGTTGACTCATGTTAGGTTCAGGTTCGTCAAGTAGTTCTTAATTAATTCGTGTCGTTTCAACACACTAGTCGTTGGTTAGTCATGGGCAGGCTTGATAAAAATTCTCTGAGATATAAGAATTGTGTGAAGGAAGATCGAGGGCTTGTGGTTTTGTTGCTGCAGTGTATGGTAATTCAATTTGTAATTAGAGGATAGTTGAAGACCGCGGAAACAGGACAGTTTCATTTACCGTGAAAAGCTTGTATGTTCTTCTCGATTGTGGGTCAGGGGTCAGGGGAAACTGAACTTGATTGCTTGTTCATGGAATAAATTCTCAGTTAAAACAGAGTTTAGAACATTTACAATTGGAGTTGTATTCTTAGCCAGTGTGGGTCTCTTTTTTCATGGATTGGACCGCAGGACAAATTGCACGCGATTAGCTTGTTAAGGTCTTTAAAAAGGAGAGTTGTCCGCTTAAGAGTACAGGGTAGATTAATGAGTTCCTGGATGCAAAAATATTCTTTGTTTTGTCGATGGTCTTGTGTGATCTTAGCTGCTAAGTATAATGTATTGTGAAGGTCATGAGCATGGGTTATACACTCAAACTTCAAAGTGTTGATACATGACTCAAATCATGTTTATTGTGTTGACGTCGTTTGATTGTTGTGATACTGGAAACTGGTTTCTTTTTTGCTTAATGTGCTGATTGATTGTTGGCTTGAGTATACGGTCTAGACACTGAATTGTAACTTCATAACACATTGGATGTAGGTGCTGAGAAAGCTGGTGGATGATGCTTCAAAGTTCCTGAATGACAAAGTAACTAAAGCAGTGGTCACTGTTCCTGCTTACTTCAACGACTCGCAAAGGACTGCAACAAAGGATGCTGGACGTATTGCTGGGTTAGAAGTGCTCCGCATTATTAATGAACCTACTGCTGCATCGCTGGCATATGGATTTGAAAAGAAAAGCAATGAGACCATTCTGGTGTTCGACCTTGGCGGTGGAACTTTTGATGTCTCAGGTACACTGATAGTGTTATAACATCAGGAATGTCTTTGTTCATTCCAACAGCTGGGTGAAACTGCTTTGATTGTTGTTTGCTGTCATTTGCAGTGTGATTTCATATGAACTTTATGATTCTACTTGCCATGTAGTTCTTGAGGTTGGAGATGGAGTCTTCGAAGTGCTTTCAACATCTGGAGACACACATTTGGGTGGCGATGACTTTGACAAGGTATGGATGAGCTTTCTTGCTATTTTTTGACTGTCACTGGTCCCCTTACACAACTTCCTTTTTGTAAATTATATTAGTTCTGAATATTTGCGTACTTTAATCATGCAGAGAATTGTGGATTGGATAGCTGCAGACTTCAAGAGAGATGAAGGTATAGATCTTTTGAAGGACAAGCAAGCCCTTCAAAGGTTGACTGAGGCTGCCGAGAAAGCTAAAATCGAACTGTCATCTTTAACCCAGACGAACATCAGGTATTACCATGACCGGGAGGAATGCATAACCACCCCCGGCTCTCTCTCTCTCTCTCTCTCTCTCTCTCTCATTCTTGTCACTGATGACAATCTTTGTTTGTCCAGCTTGCCGTTTATTACTGCCACTGCAGATGGACCAAAGCACATTGAAAAGACACTGACAAGGGCCAA